TATTCATGGGTTATTTGTGGGTTCCTGGGTTCTTTCGTGGGTTATTTTTCAAATTAAAATACCCACGTTTTAGAAATGTGGGTTATTTTTCCCAAACAATAACCCACGTTTCTAAAACGTGGGTATTTTTTCCCAAAAAATAACCCACGTTTTTCTAGGGGAGGAATTCGAAAAGGGGGATGTACGCGTGGGTACCGGAGGGCCCAGTATTGGGTCATTCCCGGTATTCAAAATTTTCCAGGTTTGATCGACTKTAAGACGGTAGATTTAGAATGTCGAAGTCCACAACATACCTACGAGTTACTGTACTTCGTACTACGTACGAGTAGGAGAAAGGAAGCCAAATGTGTGGCACAAATCTGGAATAGGTTACGAGTACACTAAAAACACCATTTTTTATAATTTGARCTATCTTGCATCCTTCTATTTGCTAACAAAGGACCAATCAGAATTAGAGATTCAGTTAATCAGAAAGGGTTTTTGTTCTTCCTCCACACAGAGATGTGCCTATTGCAGGKTTTTTTGCCAGGAAATCTCTTTGGGCTACTTGATTATTAGAAATTCATTAAAACAAGAACCACCACCAGCACAACACCAACAAGGACTTGTCTCACCCTCCATGATAAAGAGCTATAAGCAACACTTTCCCTGCCACACACACATAGTACACCACCAGAATAGCTTCATTATAATAAGAATGAGGGGAGGGAAGTCTCACCAGATCAGTTAACCGAGTGGTATACTAAGAATTACTACTACTAGTAGTAGTAGTAGTAGTCACCAGTATTCAACCTAGTACTACTAGTACTAGTAGTATCAACAAAACAAAAAAATGACCAGTAGGAGTGGCTCCAGATAGACCAACACTCCCTCCCTCCAAATCAAACAAGAAAAATGTTGCCTAGAAGAAAAGGCAGTTTTTCTATATTTTGMCATCAACAGCAGGAGCAGGAGCAAGCCAGCGCCACCAGCAGGGGAAGCAAGGCTGCAGGAATCAGTATCATGGATCATTGAGAGAATGGGGTTGATTGGTGTTTGTACTAGTGCCACCACCAGCAGGAAAGAAAAGAAGCAGGAGGAGGAAGAAGTTCTTATTCAAAGAAGAAGAACAACAAAAAACAAAGCAGTGATAGCAGCTGCTGCAACAATTGCAGCAACAATTCTTGTTGGCTCTGTAGCAAATGGACACACTATTGCAGTGTATAAACAGACAAGGATAGCAGCTACTACTAGAGCTCTGGTCATGGCCAAGGGGTAGGGGGGGGGCTGCTATATTAGGAAAACAATGGAATTTGCAAAATTCACTACAGATGAATGCAACAACAATGAAGCCATCCAGAAAAGAGTTAGGTATAAGGTACAGGGTCACGCTGGAGATAAAATTAACTGCTGGAGTTCCCACACTCACATTGACTATAACTCACAACCAGACTTGTCAGGCCTCACAGGTAGTGCTGGTGCCAGTACCACTGCTGGCACCAGCAGTGACAATACTAGTAGTAGTAGTAGCAAACAAGATGACAACAACAAGGATGACAAAGKCCTGTTCACTGAGACAATCACAGATGTTCCCCCAAAGAAGGAGATACACAAGCCCCCTTGAACTGCACAGTCTTTCCATGTGTTGGAGGTTGACAATCACATTAAAGACAAGAAGCAAGATACCACATATCTTTCAGCAGCAAAGAAAATCCCTTGGAAACATGACCAACATATGTGCTGCAGCTTCCCAAGTCAACAAGCTTTGGAATGTTGAAATGTGTACAGAAACCATCTGGCTGTGTTGAATGCAGGTCTGGAGAATATTTGCTCCACCTGTTGCAATTGTGGATGGCCCTCCAGTTTGCCAGCAGTGGCGGAGACTGTACTACTAGTAGTAGATAAATTGCTTTGTATGTTCTTGCCATTGGTTGTTCTGAGCTGGAAGAGCAGCCAAACCAAAAGCCTATCAGATAACAAAGTTGCCCATAAATTGATAGTGCTGAAAGATGGCACCAGTAATGATTTGAAGAGAAGGATGCCAGAGCTGTGGAKGCCTCCTCCTTGAATGATGCTGATTTCAACAGTAGTATCTTCTRAAAGTATGCACCAAGAAAAAAGAAAGTGATGTTGTAGACAGTCATTGTACCAAGTTCTAGAACTTGTCAAAGATGCTCTAGCTGAAGCAAAACATTCCAGTCAACAGTTCATTATTACAGGAGGATTCACACTTAACACCAATGACCATTTTGTTGAAAGACAAGAGCAAATTAAATGCTGGGAGACATACATACTAGTACATCATGTATATCACCAATCAATACTTCCCTGGACCTGCACTCCCCCATGGCTTTAGGAAGCTCCTTTTAATTCTCTTTTTAACAATATGCTTCTTGTCTTTATGCRTCCTTTGTGGTCAAATTTACAGCCCAAACTGTCAGGTCAAGACTGAAACAGTTATACAGTTAAATTACACAGTCCGTGGATTACCACCCATCTTTTTATTGTGTAAAGACTAGTTAGACTCAAYGGATTCCAGTTGCACAATGGACATTTGGTACCTCAACTGCTGTTTTACCTCACAAAATTAGGYCACTAATGGTGTGAACTCAGAACTTGGCAATACCCCTCCTTGATATATTTGTTCTGTTTCTGGTTTATCAGAAGGAACTGTGTTGGAAGCATTTCTCTGTGCTTTTACATGCTGGTGCATCGATCCCATAATTTTTCCTTAAATTGATTAAGAACAATACATCCTATGAGGGAGAGTACCCCCGCTAAAAATGGAGGATACTGCAAAAAGCAAAAAGCAGCAAAACAAGCAAACTGAGCAACAAATACCAAAAACATCAGATTTTCTTGTTGAAGACCTCCATAAGGATGTATATTGACAATACCCCCTCATCTCTCCTGACTCAGTTCCTCCAAAAGAACACACTGGAGCAATCTTGTTTGGTTGTCACCMAAGGCAGAGAGCAAAATTCAACCAGAGGAAGGCCAAAACAAAGAAGGAAGGCATCAAGCCTGGATGCTTGTGTRCAAAGGACCCAAGGCCTGTGTTTACAAGCACTGGATGCCACAGCSCAAGCTTGCAATTGTAAAGGGCAACATGGAGATGAAGTGGCACCTAGTATCAAAGGCAAGGGAAGCAGMAAAGTTGATCAAGGGCATTGATCCAGGGGTTTGATGGAAGATCCAAATTGTAATGGACACTTCTGCACCTCCTCCTGAAGTTATGGAGCCGCCACCACCAGAAGTAATCAACAATCCTTCCCCCTCAAGTACAGTTTGTAATGAATCAAGACTGGAAGTGGGTGGAGGATTGGAAATGGGACCAAAAGCCAACACCATACAACAAAGAACTAAATGAGACCTGCGCTGGTGGTTTAAAGAAGACCTGCTTGAAAAAGAAAGATCTTGCAAAGGCCATTGAATTGGATTGATTYGCAAAGTCACTGCTTCCTCTAGTAGAGATGAGTGTTGGAGATAAACATGAGTGGTTCTTTGAGATCTACAGGTCTGTGATGAAGAGGGAAAACAACTACACTCCTTGCATTCAGTGTGCCAAAGAATTTGCCTTTGATAAGTGGGGACATCCTTACTACATGGACCAAACCTTTTCCTTTGATTCAGCCAACAACTACAATGAGATGAATTGTGAGGAGGAGGAGATGATGGATTGCAAGAACCAGCAACCAAATCAGCAACAGTATCAGCAACCTGCAACAAAGCAACCGACAAAGCAACTGACAAAGCAACTGACAAAGCAACTGACAAAGCAACTGACAAAGCAACCGACAAAGCAATTGACAACAAACAAGCAATCAACAACAAAGCAAACAAAGGAGCAAACCAATGAGGAAACTATCCATATTTAATAATTACTACTATTTTGTTTATTACACTGATTCTAATGGTCCAACTACTGTGCTTAACTCAGTTTGGTAGGGTTAGTCCACTGATAACAGTAGTGGTTATATCAGTGCTGCTGGGAGAAACAACAACATCAACATCAAGATTGTCATCACCAGCAACCCTATTGTCTTCCTCGTCCTCGTCCTCGTCCTCAATGTCTAATAAGAATTTCAAATACTCAGTGTTATCTTTCAACTCTTCATTGTTTGGAGGCTTCCAGGTAGTCCTATCTCTCAGTCTTTTGTCATTTCTTACTCTAGAGCAGTAGTTGCTCCTTCCAAGCCCAAACCATACATAGTTGTGATAGTTGCTGTGACATAACTTCCAGATGGGATCTCTATTAGAATCCCTCTTTGTTGAATTGTTTGCAGTGACATAGGGACTTTGCACAGGTTGCACATACTGTAAGTATTTCCACCACACATGCAGCAGATATTTTTATTTCTTGACTTGTTTGTAGGCCCAATTGCCTTCAGATGATTTGCATACTCAGTCTGAGTGAAGAAAAATCTTTTATAAAGAGCTGACAAGTCATTATGCCACTTTTATG